TCTTTATTAGAATAAAGAGAATATGCATCAATACCATCCACTCTGCAGCAAAGTGAAAGTTATAAATTCTCAAAATTTTCTATGAATGATGATAGTTTAAAGATATCCTTGCTAAAATTGGGTTAAATATAGCAAAGTATATGATCTTTTTAAAAAAACTTTATTTGTTTATTTTGAGAGAGAGAGAGAGAGAGAGAGAATCCCAAGCAAGCTCTGCACTGCCAGCACAGAGGCTCATGCGGGGTTTGAACTCCTGAACTGTGAGATCATGACCTGAGCCTAAATCAAGAGTAAGATGCTCAACCAACTGAGCCACACAGGTGCCCAATGATCTTTAAAAAAATTTTTTTTAAATGTTTATTTTCTTTTGAGAGAAACACAGAGACAGAGACAGAGACAGAGGCGTGAACAGGGGAGGGGCAGAGAGGGAGACACAGAATCTGAAGCAGGCTCCAGGCTCTGAGATGTCAGCATAGAGCCCAACACAGAGCTCAAACTCACAGACAGTGAAATCATGACCTGAGCTGAAGTCGGATGCTTAACGGACTGAGCCACCCAGGCGGCCCTATGATCTTTTTTTAATAGGCAATAACAATTGCTACTTGCTTCTTTCAGATGGATATTTTATAGTTCTCATTTTTATTTTTTATTAGCTGTAAGTCTTAGGGAATATAGGATTTATAGATATAGAATCAAATAAAGCATTCAAAACTTAGTATTAACAGTAAATGTTTCAAAAAAGTTTTTAATAAAAATGTACAAGGGTGCCTGGGTAGCTCAATCATCCAACTCTTGATTTCGGCTCAGGTCATGATCTCATGGTTCATGGGGATTGAGTCCTGTGTCAGACTCTGCCCTGACACTGTGGAGCCTGCTTGGGATTCTCTCTCTCCCTCTCTCTTTGCCTCTCCCCTGCTCATGTGTGCTCCCTCCCTCCCTCTCTCTCTCTCTCTCAAAATAAACATTAAAAAAGAATGTACATTTATCAGTAACATTTTAAAAAATCTGAAAACCAGAAAAAAAAAGATCTCCAAAGGAACTCCTGTTCAATTCCACAGATATTTATGGTGTACCATCACTGCGAAGGGAACAGTGAAGGATACAAATGGGTAGAAAAAGGGCAGAACACAATCCCTTTGTATAAAGAACATACAATTTTTATGGGCAGCAAGCATCCTTCCTAGATGTAATTTATCTCTTGATAGTAAGTCAGCTGAGTCTAATAAATGATACCCACTGTGCTAGATGCTGGAAATTCAAGATTACATTCATATTCTCCATTCCCAGGACACTCACAACTATTGATGTCTTTTCCCATTCAGATGAAGCTACAGAAATAAAAAAATTGGGGCGCCCGGGTGGCTTAGTCGGTTAAGCGTCCGACTTTCGCTTAGGTCATGATCTCGCGGTTCATGGGTTCGAGCCCCACGTCGGGCTCTTTGCTGACTGCCAGCTCAGAGCCTGGAGCCTGTTTCAGAGTCTGTGACTCCCTCTCTCTCTGACCCTCCCCTGCTCATGCTGTCTCTCTCTCTCTCCTAGAAATAAATAAAAATATTAAAAAAAAAGAAATAAAAAAATTATAAATTACCAGTGGATTTCAGAACAATAAGATAGCCATCTCATTGTGAATCTTTAGTAAAATTCTGGAAATGCATGATTGAACAGGTAATCTGTAGGCATTTTAAAAAGCCTGGTGATACTAAGAGCCCATATGAAGTGACCCAAGGTAAATCATTCCAGATGCACTTCATTTTTAACATAAGTCTTCTGAATGGTTAGATTTATACCAATGCTGTAGTGTATTTTGATTGTATGTAAATATTTGGTAGGCTTCCCATGATATCTTTCATGGAGACATGATTTATTATAGATTTGATGGTGGACTGGTTATTTTTTTTTCAAGAATTTTAAAAAATGTTTCTTATTTATTTTGAGAGAGGGAGAAAGAGTATGAGTGGGGAAGGGCAGAGAGAGAGAGAGAGAGAGAGAGAATCCCAAGCAGGCTCTGCACTGTCATCAGAGCCTGATGCAGGGCTTGATCTCAATCCGTGAGATCATGACCTGAGATGAGATCAAGAGTTGGACACTTAACTAACTGAGCCACACAGGACCCCTAAATTGGTTATTTTTTTTGTTGAAATATATCATTTCAAACTCAATGACTTAAAATATCGATCATCTTATTTGTCCATGTTTCTGTGGGTCAGCATTTTAGGCTAGTTCAGCTGGGGTTGGTCGAGGGAACCTCCTAGATGGCTTACTCTGGGTGTCATCCTTGCCCTGACTTCTTCATGTGTCATGTTCAGGGCAGGAAGGGAAGACAGACACCAAAGGGCAAGTGTAAGCCTCTGTTTGCAACACATTTGTGAACGTCCCATTGGCTAAAGCAAATTACATAGCCATGGAGGCACACGGGCCACCCAGAGGCATGGATACAGGGAGGGGAGATCCACTAGGGCATCATAATTGTGACAGCGTGTCACCGATTGTATTAACTGGGCATATTTCTATCCAGTTGGACAACAATTTCCAAAGAGGAGGACTACTATAGGTATTCATTTATCGTGTTCTATTCTAGATATTGGTTAATGATTTGGACAAAGGAAATGAAATATGATTGTAATTTTGACCATGACAGAAAACTATGAATAATACAGGGGCGCCTGGGTGGCTTAGTCGGGGTTAAGCGTCCGACTTTCGCTTAGGTCATGATCTCGCGGTTCGTGGGTTCGAGCCCCGCGTCGGGCTCTGTGCTGACTGCCAGTTCAGACAGACCCTGGAGCCTGTTTCAGTCTGTGACTCCCTCTCTCTCTGACCCTCCCCTGCTCACGCTGTCTCTCTCTCTCTCCTAGAAATAAATAAAACATTTAAAAAAATTTAAAAAAACTATGAATAATATAAATCCTAAGATGACTTTGGCAGTTTGAATCACTTGGACTAAACTAATAAAAAATCCAATATATTAATGTTAAATGAAAAGTCCTACATATCTGTTAGTAAAATAAATTGTGATCAGGCAGCATTGAAAGTCATATCAAACAATGTGGAGATTTTATTTAATACCAAATTTATGAGACATTACAGTGATCAAGAGAGATTGATAGAAACACAGTTCACAGGTTATGAAAAGTAACAGTTCCCCAGAACAAAATATTCCCAGTGGATTGTGTATATTTCTGGGTGAAAATTTGTAGAAGGATATGGAACAAGGGAAAATCTAGAAGGTAACTGGTGTGGGAACATACAAATATGATCTCCTAGAGGGAAAACTGATGGAGTATTTGCTCTACAGAGAAGAGAACTAAAGACTTGAAAGAAGACTCAGAATCATCCTAAAACTTGGAAGAACTGTCAGGGAGAAGAAAGCTCTAGGAGGTAAAAACAGGATCAGTGGAAGAAGTTGTAGATGGACTTCAGCTCAAACACATGTGCGGTAGTTTAACAAATGAGTTGTCCAACAAGGACTGTGGTGTCTTACAAGTTAATGATCTCCCTCTTTGGAAGCTCAAGCAGAGTCTGGAACACTGAGATGCTGTAGAAGGGATTCTGGAAGAGTCGGAGACTCAATGAGGCTCACTTTCTCCCTTTCCCATATTTTTATTTATTAAATTTATTACATTAAATAGCATTTTCCTTCATTACTATCCTTTTTATTGCTGAGGTGCTCTTTAAAAGTTAATGAAAGTCATGAGTTTTCATTTTGGTTAACAAAACAAAACCATGTTAAAAAAAAAAAAGTCTCGGGGTACCTGGGTGGCTCAGTCAATTAACCGTCTGACTTCGGCTCAAGTCATGATCTCACAGCTTGTGAGTGCAAGTGCTGGGTGGGGCTCTGTGCTAACAGCTCAGAGCCCAGAGCCTGCTTCTGATTCTGTATCTCCCTCTCTCTCTGCCCCTCCCCAGCTCATGCTCTGTCTCTCTCTCTCTCTTTCAAAAATAAATAAACGTTAAACAAAATTTTAGGGAAAAAAACTCTCCCTTTCTTTGGCCAACTGCAAAACCTTCTCTTCTCTTCTCTTCTCTTCTCCTTTCTTTTCTTTCTTTTCTTTTCTTTTCTTTTCTTTTTTCTTTTCTTTTCTTTTCTTTTCTTTTCTTTTCTTTTCTTTTCCTTTGGCACTCATGGCCCATTTGGCCAATATTGTTGTGTGAAGATAGCTTAGTCTTTAGATTTCTATTAACAAAAAAAATTTATTTTTTAATTTTTAAATGCTTTATTTATTTATTTATTTATTTATCTGAGAAAGAACAACAGCGTGAGCAGGGGAGGGTCAGAGAGAGAGAGAGAGACACAGAATCAGAAGCAGGCTCCAGGCTCTGAGCTAGCTGTCGGCACAGAGCCCGACACGGGGCTCGAACCCACGAACCACGAGATCATGACCTGAGCCAAAGTCGGATGCTTAACTGACTAAGCCACCCAGGTGCTCCTTTTTTTAATTTTTGAGAGAGAGAGAGAGAGAGAGGAAGCAGGGGAGAAGAAGCAGAGGGAGAAAGAGAGAGAATGTAAAGCAGGCTCTATGCTCAGCATGGAGCCCAATGCAAGGGCTCAGTCCCATGACCCTGAGACCATGACGTGAGCCAAAGTCAAGAGTCAGAGGCTCAACCAACTGAGCCACTCAGCCAGGAGGCCTGTCTTTAGATTTTTAAAATACCTGTGTCTTCATCTTTTGTTAGCCATTTTGGTTTCCTTTTCTAAAAAATGAAGACATTGGTACTTACTATGGGCTAAGTGAGATAACCCATATAAAGTGCCAGGTATATAAAGTCCAATAGGTGTTGATGTGCTTCCATCCATGCCCAGGACATCATGATGCCCTCTATGACACAGCGTTGTTTCAGTCACCCGGTAGTATTCATTTCCTCTGGTGACTCTAGAATAGTGGGCCATATCTCAGTTTGCTGAGGACATTCCTGGCTCACGCATGCTGTCCTGGCATAATTACTTACAGCCTCTCGTTTCACCCTCACGTGTCCAATTTTGACAAGTCATGGGATCATCCTACCTAGAACTTCCTCAGCGCCTTCCTTAGGGCCTCTTTCAGTTCCTTGTTCCGCATACTGTAGATCAAAGGGTTTAAAATGGGAGTGATGAAGGTGTAGACCACAGACACCACCCGGCCCATCTCAGGAGAGTAGCTGGAGCTGGGAGACAAGTATATAAAGCTGGTGCAGCCATACTGCAGGAGGACAACTAAGATGTGCGAGGAGCAGGTGGAGAAGGCTCGGTGGCGCCCTTCTGCTGACCGGATCCGCAAAACGGCTGCCACGATGAAGACATAGGAGATGGAGATTAATGAGAGCGGGATGCTTAGGACGAGGAAGATGATGATGTACAGGGCAGTCTCGTGAATGTGTGTGTCCGCACAGGCCAGGCGCATGATGGCAGGCATGTCGCAGTAGAAGTGGTAGATCTCATTGTTGTTGCAGAATGGGAGGTGGAAGATTAAAATAGTCAGTGGCAGCGACAGCAGAAACCCCAGCACCAGGCACCCTGCCATCAGCTCCACACACAAGGGCCAGCTCATGATGCGGGTGTATCGAAGAGGGTAACAGATGGCTACGAACCGGTCATAGGCCATGACAGCAAGCAGAACACAATCAGCGCCACCCAGGAAGACAAAGAAGAACATTTGGGTCCCACAGCCAGGGATGGAAATAGGAGTCCTGCCTATTGAAAGGAGGTTTGCCAAGGCCAGTGGGGCAATGGCGGATGTATAGAAGATTTCCAGAACTGCCAGGTTAGCCAGGAAAAAGTACATGGGGACGTGGAGGGAGTGGTTGATCTGGACAATGACTGCAATTGTGGTGTTTCCGCTGAGGCTAGTCAGGTACATCATCAGGAAGGCCACAAAAATCCCTACCTGTACTTTAGGGTCAGCTGAGAATGGACAAAAGAAGAACTGTATCTTTGCAGTTTTATTTATCTCTTCCATGGGTAGTGTATTGGATCTAGAAGAAGGAAAGATGGGACATGCGTCTCTATTAAACTTCCCATTTAATATTATGTGGTCACATTCCTCCGTTCAATGTTACGGCACTTTCTGAGGTACCTCAGCGGTTATGTGCACACTTTCAGTTTAGAGCCGATCATGGAATATTATAATGTACACATATGCTGTCCCTCCCATTTCCTCCTCTACCCTGAAGAGAAGGATGGAGAAATCCTCAGTGGTGGGGATTTTGGTGCTCTTTGCTTTGATTCTGGTGTCTAGCACCGTGCCCAATAGAGAAGGCTTTCCAAGAAGTACTTGCTGAATGAATGAATGAATAAAGTCAGTTTAAAGTTCAAAGTCACAAAATGGATAAAATAGGGTATTAATTCATCATGGGAAACTTGAAACAAACAAGCTTTAGGAAAGTTTAAGTAGATGTAGGTTATAATTTAAAGAGAATTGTGGTCCTGGTACCCTGTGATATTACAGCACACACTGTGATTTAGCTCGACACCTGGAAACGTTGATCCATCCTGCTTTGTCTCCTTTATCCAATTTGTTCCTAAATGCTGACAGTTTGTTCTTCACAAATTTCTCATATCTATTGCTTTGGTCCTTTTTCCACTGCCCCAGTCATTTCTATCCATTGTTATCTTACATTTAGGTTCTTGTGATAGCCTCTTATCTAATCTCCCATTTTCCTTCCTCTTCCTGTTATCATCCATCCTGTTCTCCATTATCACATTATCCACCTACTTAATCATTTCCAGTGCCTTCCTATTGCTTAAATGACCTTCCTGCCCTTCTGCTTATTATTCTAGTTTCTTTTGGACTTGACTGTTTTAGGCTAATCCCACTACAGCCCCAATTTTCCCTTCATGTACTACATAGTCTACTCATTGGCCTCTTCTCCATCGTTCTTCTTTGTGCTTCACATACTTCTGTTCTCCTTCCAGTTAGAAATCTCATCTCCTCTCTTTGCCTAATCCAAATCCTGCCCAACTTTCAAATTCTAGGTTATATTCTTCTTTTATGATGTCTTCCTGGGCCACTCCAGTTAAAAATATTCCTTTTTCCTTTCTCTGAAATTCTATATTGCTCAGAGTATTATGACTTTAATGCTGGTATACTGTCTTTTACTATATTTTCATATCCTATCCTAAATTATACTCTATGTTCCCTGAGGACAGAAGATGCGTCTTATGACAAATTATCATTTATTCCATGTTAAGTGGTAGGCATGGTGGAAAATGATTTGAGTGCATTAGTTCACTTAGTCCACAAAGCCACTTTAGGAGGCCTGTACTATTATCATCCCATTTTACAGATGAAGACAGAGGCTTAAAGAGGTTAAGAAATGTTTTGAAGCCACACAGATAGAAAGTGGAGAGCAAGGATTTGAATACAGTCTATTTGACCACAAAGTTCTCATGCTTAATCTTGGTTCATACCATACTGCCTCCCTCTATACTACTTTATATTTCCTAAATGACTTTGTTACTGGATTATATTTTCATTCATAAGTAGAATTCTAGATGGTCTATGGTAAAAAGACCACCGAAGATCTGAGACCAAAAATGTTAGATTATAGTATTTTCAGATGTAAGAGGCATAATTACAATCTAGACTGTTGTTTTATCTAGTAAATGCTGCCCGTAACAGTGCAACAGAAAGAATCTCCTTTCTTTGTCTTATAAGGAGCAGGGAGAAAGGATTTGGTTAAAAACTATGATGTTGGGGTGAAGACGGAGGAGAGTGGTTTAATTCATCTTTCATGAGAGACAGCATGGAAACAATGAGAAGGTCTTCTGTAACCCAGGCCCCGGGGTCTTGAGTGATGCCCAAGGGGTCTTCATAGGAGCCTGCAGTTTTCGTATCCTGTCTTCTGGTGGCTAAGAGTCTAGTCCCAAAACCAAGTAGCTTTGAATTGAACCAAACCTGTGCAGGTGAATACAAATGAATAACTCAATTCATAAGGACACTAGCAGCAAAAATTCCAAATAGTGCCTTCTGTTCATTTTTTTTCTCAGTTACCTCCTCCTTGGGTACAGGAAGTCCACCCTACCTCTTGGGCATAAATCCACCTAATCTCCTCAAAGCCCTTGTGTTTAAATGCAATGTATAGGCTGCATTGACTTTGTTTCAGTACAAGGTCTAGAAAAGGGAACCGGAAATCAAACAGAGAAATACTATGAAATCCAGGGTTTTGAGTAAGAAACCAAGTGTCACATTATCCAGTTGACTATCTAACTATTCTCTTCATTTCCTTATGCAAATTCCCCCACCCATGGTAACCTCTTCATTGTGACAAGATAAAGATGTTACTTAGTTTCTGTCTGGAAGCTATATCAACTATAGGTTATATGAAGTGCTTTTGTTATTGCAAAGAAGAACCCAAGTAGAACCCATGTTTCAAAAGATGGTCTTGGACTTTCAGATATTCCTTCTATATGATGCCAAAATATTGAATCAAATGTTGGGCATTGTGCAAATAACTGAAAGCTTTATTCACCAATCTTTATATAAATCCTGAGGGATAGTAGTGGTTATTTGGCTCTATGTATGCTCCCAAAATCATATTCAGGGTGCCTGGGTGGCTCAGTCAGTTTAGCATTCAACTCTTGATTTCAGCCCAGGTCACAATCTCACAGTTTGTGAGTTTGAGCCCCGTGTCAGGTTCCATGCTAGCAGCATGGAGCCTGCTTGGGATTCTCTTCCCACCCCTCCCCCCCCCCCCGCCCCTCCACTACTCATGCTTTTTCTCTCTCAAAAACAAATAAACAAACTTAAAAAAAAAAAGAATGTATAATCTAGACTCTATTGGGTACAGAGCTGTGTCCAGGACAAAAATGAAGTCCCAGAATCAAGATGATGCAGCTTTCTTAAAAGGTCAGTTTTAACTTGAAAATTTTTGCGAAATTATTTCATATAAAAAAAGTGGAGATAGTATCCATGGAAAGAAGATCTGCATGATTTTTGGAGATAAAAATGTAAGATTTCCAAGAGATTTCTTGCTGTGACTACTTGCCAAGTCGTTAGGAATATAAATGGTCTCTCATGCTAATTAATTAGTCCTTAAATAGGAACACTTTAGATGCACTGGTTTAGACCATAGATTGACTACTACCCAATGAAAAATAATTTCCCAAACTTCCCAAATATAGCATCTTGATTTGGTAAGTCTCCTCCCTTATTATTCGAAAGAAAACAACTTAAGGTAAAGTCAACATTTTTTAAGATAAGTGTGGCTCAGAGAAAACACTCAGGAGATAGCTAGTCTTTGGAAAGATGGTTTATTATCTCCTGAGACTGTTTACCATCAGACAATGAAAAACATGGCTCCACGAGTTCTTTGTCCTTCATGTAATTCCTATCCAGGTTAACTAGTGGCCACAGAAGGTCACAGATCCCACAGAATCAGAGCTCTGTCAGGTTATCTGGTCTATCTCTTCCAAAGAGATTGCCTGAATTGCCCAAGCATTTTTTAATTCATCATTTAAATATACAAAGTGCTGCAAGGGATGCAAGATGATTAAGATGTCTTCAATTCTGTGCAGTCACAGGGACAAGGCCATTGGCCAGATTTTCCCTTATTCTTGTTCTGTTTAAAACACTTTTCCATCCTCCCTTGTCAGTTTCTCTCAATTAAAATTGTAGGTAGCATTTAAAATAATGGCTGAAAAGGTAGTTAAAAGGTGGTCTTTTCACTAAGTCAGTAAACTGCCTCTTTGGTTAGACAACCAGATCTTAGGAAAATGCATATATAAAACAAGCACATAATTTGGGGGAGATGATACTTCCAAGAAAGATGGTACAGAGTAGGCTATGTTGGAGTTCAGTGATCTGCATTCAAATTCCAGCTTTCTACTTAGTAGTTTTATGATCTTCCTAAGTCACTTGCTCTCTCTAAGACCCCACATGCTCAGAATAACACCCCACTTCTTTACAAGATGGCTGTGAGGTGAATGGAACAATGTCCATAAAAGAAACTCCTGGAATGCGTGGCACTATATAAAGTATACTGGTTCATGGATTCCTTCCATTATTTATCTTGAGACTGAGAAAGATTTAAATTGCTGAGTGGATAGAATGCCTGCTCTATCTAATAGACTTTGGGAGGGATTTTATGTACCTCTGGTTCCATTTCTAGTTTCCTATGTCACTTTATATTGCAGAATTTCTCTTTGAATAGAATGAGGAGTGACCACTGTATCAGAAATTAGTTGTTACAGTTAAAAGATAGCTTATATGAAATGTCTTGACTTTAGGTTTATCTGGCTTATTTGACCTACATGGCATATCTGTTAGCACAAAGTTGGACTCACCTGCAGAGGAAGATAAACGCTTAACTTGGGAGTTTTGATTGTAGGATGAACAGAGAAGGAAGTACAATGTTATAATCACCATTCACAGGACAAAAATCCTGTTTGGAGCATAGTGTTAGTGGTTTCTGGATATACTCATACCAGCTGTAAGATTTTTGTACTGATTCAAAGAAAATCTCTTGTCAAATGTACCAAACAAAAGACATAATTGTCTTTAAAAGACATTCTTGAATAACATTTTCTATACATCTGAATATATGTGTATTTCATATATGAACTTATGAATTCATAAATATTAAAAAAATGAAATTCAGATTTCATATCCATCTATATATCTGAAGAGATTAGATGTCTGAAGAGGCTCTACTCTCTGGAAGAGTCTTCTGTGAGAATTTTCTGGCAGCAGCATCTGGAAAGAAGGAATGCCACGGTGGTATTGCTTTGCTGCTAATATGTTGAATCATACAGAACTTGTTTCTGAAAGCCAATAATGGTAGCATCTAGGCAATTTCACATGGTTCAACATAGTACTTTTACAAGCATATTTTGTATATGTCAAAGGAAATATTCAGGCATTTAACAAAAAGTTATTCTCCTACTGCATACCAGAGGGTAACATTTATTGGGCACTGGTACACTGTGCTAATTATTTTTCAGGGATCATTTCACTTAAGTGGTCCTTCAGTGAATATTCAACAGGTGCCTTTATTGTACATATTTTTTCAGATGGAGA